GAGGGAAGGTGAGGAATGTAGAGAGAGAAAGTGAGAACAAAATATAACGAAAGAAGGAAAGAAAGGGAAGATAAAGTAGGAGAGAGAGAAAGAGAGAGAGGGAAGGAAAGATGAAGAACAGAGTGAGAGAGTGACAGTCCGCTGTTAAGATTGTTATCTCTTTAATTATTTCTGTTATCTCTTCTTTCGCATCTCTCTCTCTCTCTCTCTCTCTCTCTCTCTCTTCTCCTTTGTTTTTATCTATCTACCTATCTATCTGTCTGTCTGTCTGTCTGTCTGTCACACACACACACGTCACAGCAAGGAGGCAGAACAAGTAAATGAGATTAACCTGAGCTCCCCCTCCCCTCCCCCTTCCCCTTCTCCCCTCCCCCCTCCTTCCCCTCTCCCCTTCTCCCCTTCCCTCCCCCTTCTCCCCCGCTCCCCCTCCCCTTCTCCCCCTCCTTCTCCCTTTCTCCCCCCTCCCCTCTCCCCCTCCCCTTCCCCTCTCCCCCCCTCCCCTTCTCCCCGCTCCCCTTCTCCCCTCCCTCTCCCCCTCCTCTCCCCCCCCTCTCCTTCTCCTCCTCCCCTTCTCCCCCTCTCCCCCTCCCCTTCTCCCCCTCCCTCCCCTCTCCTCTCCCCCGCTCCCCTTCTCCCCTCTCCCCCCCTCCCCTTTCCTCCCCCCCTTCCCTCCTTCTCCCCCCCTCCTCCCCTTCTCCCCCTCTCCCCTTCTCCCCCCGCTCCCCCTCTCCCCCACTCTCTTCTCTCCCCTTCTCCCCCTCCCCTCCTGCTGGTGACAGAGATGGTGCTTCCCCTAACTGCTTGTGACTGTCGTGTTACTCAGAGGAACAAGGTGATGTGAGCAAACGACATGACACTCACCTAGTCATTATAAGGTCTCTCTCTCTCTCTCTCTCTCTCTCTCTCTCTCTCTCCCAGCGACACTAAGCTAACCACTAATTGTTGTCACACACACACACACACACACACACACAGGTCACGTCTGCTGACAAGGACAGGTGAGTGCTTGGCTCAATCTGACTCGCTCTACTGAACATGGAAAGGGAGAGAGAGGAGAGGAAGGAGAGGAACGGAAGAGGGGAAGAGGGAGGAGAGAGGAGGGCGTTGGAGAGAGAATTTGAACGAGGAAGAGAGAAAGTACGTGTGTGTGTGTGTGTGTGTGTGTGTGTGTGTGTGTGTGTGTGTGTGTGTTGTAGCATCAGAAACAAACTCTACATCACCCTCTCCTACAATATGCAACATACTGTATATATATATATCAACATCCAGCCACATACTTTACAACATCCAGGCATCCAATACACTCCTCTTGCAACATCCAGGCATCCAATACACTCCTCTTGCAACATCCAGGCATCCAATACACTCCTCTTGCAACACCCGCTTCGATATCCACACCAGGCGACGGCATCTGTTTCTTTCCCAGGATAACCTAAGGCGATGGGAGGGTCGATGGCCAGCGTCTGTCGTACACCATCCTGGGATTTTCATGATAATATATTGGGAAAAGTGTGACAGTGTGTGTGTGTGTGTGTGTGTGTGTGTGTGTGTGTGTGTGTAAGGATAGGAAGAGAAGGGTTTAGAGAGAGAACCAGTTAGTCAGGAGAAAGAAAGAAAGAAAGAAAGAAAGAAAGAAAGAGTTTTATGAAATACAACAGACAGACAGACAGACAGACAGACAGGAGGGTCGGGCACAAGAGGCCTCGCTACTCGGTAATGGAAGTGTCGGGACAGAGCGATAGTGAAGGACCTCTGAGATCATCACAGACACGACAGAGAGTGCGTGTAGAGTGTGTGTGTAGAGTGTGTGAGTGCATGTAGAGTGTGTGAGTGCATGTAGAGTGTGTGAGTGCATGTAGAGTGTGTGAGTACCTTTTCTTGTCACAATTTCAAACTACCAACAAAAAGTTTCTAAACCCTTACACTCCGTTTTCTGTGACTGAATTTCCCATTTTCTTTCTTTACATTTTCAATATCTGTACTCGGGGTGATCGATGAGTCCCAGAATGAACACTGTGACTCCTGTTGTCTCGGTAGGGTTGTCAAAATCATTCGTCCCTTGTGTCATATGGTAGTGAGGTATTCGAGATGGTGGTGGTGAAGTGGTGGTGAAGTAGTGGTGAGGTGATGGTGATTATGATGATATGAAAGAAATCAACCAAACTAAATTATCTTGTCTCCACTTCCTTCATTTATCACTATTCTACTTCTATCATCCATTACCTGTTGTCCGTCATCAATGTCAACAAACATCAGGGTACTAGACAGAGGGCCACAATGAACTCGAGAACTTGAACGATATGAGATGAAATAAAGTGATATAAAATGTCTCTTCCTATATTATACTATTGATAAAAGGCGATTTTTTTTTCAGTTGTTTGTGTTTATATTAATTAATTTTCACCTATTATGTACTCAGTTAAGAAAGCTGGTGGTTTTGTAGTGAGGGAGGTAGGTGTGCGTGTGCGTGTGTGTGTGCGTGTGCGTGTCTGTGTGTGTGTGTGTGTGTGTATACTCTCTGTAGCAGCGAGGGTGAAACACGCACACACGCACACACATTTCATTACCTCTGATCCTCTGACGTAACCCTTCAGAGCTACACAACACTAGGCCTATTACTCTACCCTCATACAGGTAGGCCTATTACTCTACTCCCCATATAGGTAGGCCTATTGCTCTACTCCCATACAGGTAGGCCTAGTTAGAGAAGACCCACACATTTTCCCGCTAATCCTTACTGTATTACGTCACATAACCTTCGTAGCCAATATAATAAAGTTTCTCTCTAGAACTCATAATACCACCCTTCCCCCATCTGCCTATCTAATTTACATATACCTACCTTCATCTAAACGAAATTCTATAATCAAATACCTACCATCAGTCAATTATACTGTACCGTATCATTAATCATCACAAGACAATGAGATTCCTATAATATGGAATAAAGTGTTGGAATTGAAATTGAAGAAAAGAGATTGAGTTTAATGTATCTGCCATCACCAATCACAAGCCTCAATGTTGGGGGAGGTGTGTGTGTGACGTCACGGCCGACACACAGGTGAGGGGCCCACACCAATATAAACAGAGGGTGGAGAAGAGCAGTGCAGTACCTCCTGAGACAACCATACCAACATGTACAAGGTAGACTATCATACCTTAACACAGTGTCTCTTAAGATTTTTACGCCAGGTCATTATTTTTTTTTATTATTACTGTTAATTTTTCTTTAATGTTCATATTTCTATTTTTTTTCTCACTTTAGCTATGACGACTTAACTGATGATTATTGGATAGTTAATATTTTGGTCTCCATGGCAACTATTTGGTTTCCATAGTAACCCTTTTGGTCTCAATGGCAACTATCTGATTTCCATAGTAACCATTTTTGTTTCCATGGCAACTATCTGATTTCCATAGTAACCCTTTTGGTCTCCATGGCAACTATCTGATTTCCATAGTAACCGTAAGGCTTCCATAGTGACCAAAGACAGACTTAATGAATCAGTGAACCTATAACACACCGAGGTATGGGGGTTGAATAGACAGAGGCATTTATACACAAATATACATGTGTATGAACAAACGTGTATACATTCTGAGACACACATACACCAACAAACACAATCACCACGACACATTACCCCCAACACACACACACACACACACACGCGCGCATAAAGACCTTTCACCCAGCAGTACAAAGGAAAGGTCAGATTACAGTGTGTGTGTTTTTGCCTCGTGTTGTGCTGGTCGTCAAAGGCTCTACTTTAAAGCCTACGACCATTTAAACCCATCCTACCCTATGAACCCCTGTACCCCTCCCCTGTGAACCATTTGAACCCCTGTGAACCTCTGTACCCCTCCCCTGTGAACCATTTGAACCCCTATGGACCCCTGGGTACCATCCCCTGGGGAACCATTTGAACCCCTGCATGGACCCTGTACCCTCCCCTGTGAACCATTTGAACCCTTATGAACCCCTGTAATTCTCTCCCCCATGGACCCCTGTACCCATCCCCTGGGGAAACCATTTGAACCCCTATATGGACCCTGTACTCATCCCCAGAACCACACCTGAACCCCCTGTGAATCCATTTAAACCCCAGAACCTCTGTACCCATCCCCTTGAACCATTTGAACTCCTCACACACTTACCTCCCAGAACCCCAGCATATATGAATCATTGTACCCCTCTCCCTTTGAACCCCTTCCCCAGAACCCCTCCCTTAAACTCAGCCCTAACCCAGCACCCTTCCTGGAAGCCCTCCCCAGAACCCCTAACCCAGAACCCTTCCCCCAAACCCTCCCAGAACCCCTTAAACTACTCCCTGAACCCTCCTGAACCTTTTCCCCAGAACCCTCCCACCAAACCCCTCCCCCTACCCCAATTATACCCTGTTATGTTATCAATTACAGTATATCTCTAATAAACCCAACAAGAACCTGTTATACCGCTATCCGCTCTTGATAATAATAATAATAATAATAATAATAATAATAATAATAATAATAATAATAATAATACAGTAATAATAATAATAATAATAATAATAATAATAATAATAATAATAATAATAATAATAATAATAATAATAAAGGACCATAATTAAATACAACATTAAAAAAGAGATCAATAGTGAGAAACAATATATGTATGTTGTGTTGTCATGTAAGAGAAACAACTGAGACCCTGCAATTGTGTGTAAATGAGGCAGAAAGTCAGATCATCAACCTGGGACTTGGTCACATATGGCAGCAGGGTCTACCATTAGACAACACATTATGTTTCCAATATCTTCCCAGGCGGTAATACCTCCCTGTTTGGTAGCTGCCTACTACCTGGGATACCAATATATGCTCTCATATGCCCTGTTACATCCTGTTATGCTCTGCTATATCCTGTTATGCTCTGCTATATCCTGTTATGCTCTGCTATATCCTGTTATGCCTTGTTATATCCTGTCATCTACCATTAACCGGGATTTACTATATCACAGATCAACTCGGCGGTGGTGATGGTGGTGGTGGTGGTGGTGGTGGTGGGGACAACCCTGGCCCGCCCCTCCAACCCTTACGCCCCCCCGCCCTCTGATGTAAGTACTGTAGCTCGTGTTGTTCTTCGGTGTTCTCCTTGTGTTCTTCTCTTTGTGTTCTTCTCTTTGTGTTCTTCTTGCCTTCTTATGTTCTTCTCCTTGTGTTCTGTTTCTTGTTAATAATATGTTCTTGTAGTTGTTCTCTTTTTGCGTCTCTTCCCCCATGTTTATCTTCTTTGTGTTCTCCATATGTCTTCGTGTTCTCTTTCCCAATCCTGTTCTTCAAATCATCCGAGTGTATGCTTCCGTGTTCTTCAGTTATTATCCTAAAGTCTTTAATCCTGTGACTACCCCCCTACAGGTTCCTGCAGAGTATCAGTTCAACTATGGTGTGAAAGACGACTACTACGGCAACGAGTACAGCCATACTGAAGACCGTAGCGGCTACAGCTCCAGCGGTCAGTACCAGGTTCTCCTCTCAGACGGTAGAATCCAGACGGTAGAGTACACAGTGACCAAAGATGGTGGCTTCCAGGCTAACGTTGTGGCCAAGGGGGTGAAGACCTATGCTTAGACGTTCTCTCTAGGCCTTCTTCGTCGTCACCATCTTCTTCCTCGTCTTCGTCGTGTCCTTCTCCATCTCCTAGTCTGTTATCTCCTCAGTTCGCCTATGATAACAACTGCATCTGTTTGTGTATCTCATGGAACCTCTTCAATAAATGTATCTACACGTGTCACCGTCCTTTCACTGCCTTTCCAATCTTGATGTCTGGATTGTCAAACGCAACATCAGAACCGCCGGTCTATGGAACTGATGGCCCACACCGCTCCTTCGCCCGGTGAGTCATTTTCTTCGTCAGGTGAGTCATTCCATCCGTCAGGAAGCTCATTTCTTCGTCAGGTGAGGTACTTCTTCGTGAGATAGATCGTTCCTTCGACAGGTAAGTCATACCGTTGACAGTTTTCACTCACCCAGGTCACATTATTCAACCCCCCCCTCTCATAATAATAACACGCCTTCGTCAGGTTAGTGAAGGTGAAGGTCAGAGGTGTTAGAGGGACTACGTCATCGCCCCTGGTCACTTTAAATCATTGATTTTGTCTACCGAGGCTCCTGATCCTCCTGCTGGTGAAGTGACTGATGTTCACCACCACCATCACCACTACCACCATCACCACCAGGACCTACACCATCACCACTACCATCATTACCACCACCATCACCACACCTCACCACCACTACCAAGGTGACCTACACACCATCACCACTACCATCATTACTACCCACCATCACCACTTCCACCATCACCACCAGGACTTACACCCACCACCACCACTACCAGACCTACACCACCACCACCACTAGGACTTACACCACCACCACCAACCACCACCATCACCACTACCAGATTCCACACCATCACACTACCATCATTACCACCAATTATCACTTTTACTTCCACCATCACTACTGGTGACCTACACTCACCACCACTTACTGCCAGACTTATACTACCACCAATACCACCAAACACCATCACTCACTTCCACCATCAACAATTGTGAATTTACACCACCACCAATTACTCAATATCATTACTACTACCACTACTCACTTAACCACCACTACCACACAGGACTCTTATACTCACTACCACTATCACCACTTCCACCATCAATACCTCAGGATCGCACGCCACCTCACCTCACCACTTCTCGGCTTCATCATACTTCTACCACCACCACTACCAAAATCACCACCAACACTGGCTTCTCAGGACTCCACACCACCACCACTAATTTCACTAACCACTATCACTACTTCCACCATCACTACTTCCACCATCACTACCAGGACTTACACTAATTTGCACCACCACCACAACCACCACACCACCATTTCACTTGGTGACCACCATTACCACTTCCACCATCACCACTTCCACCATCACCACCAGGACTCAGTCGGCGAAGAATTCCTCCACTTTTTCTCTCACTTCTGCCGTTATTAACCGAGATTGTTTACCTCGCTCGGGCGCCTTAGGTAAAGGTGTTCCTCCCCCTGTTCAGGTGAGTTCATTAGTGGCAGGTAAACACAAGAGGCGGCCGCGGGGAGAATTAAATGACTTGATGGATCGCCTACATGAGACGACCCAACCCTGAAGGAGTGACTGTGTGTGTGTACCGGGGGAGAGTTGGGGAGTACAGAGCAGGTGTAGTGAGGGGGTGAAGGAGGAGTACAGAGCAGGGAGAGGGGGTGAAGGAGGAATACAGAGCAGGTGTAGTGAAGGGGTGAAGGGAGTACAGAGCAGGTGTAGGAAGGGGATGAAGGAGGAGTACAGAGCAGGTAGAAAAGTGAAGGGGTGGAGGAGGAGCAGGTGTAGTGAGGGGTGAAGGAAAGTAAATGATGATGTTTATTATGGTGAAGGTACACAATAGACCTTATCAGCAATGGCTAGAAAATATACCCGCCTGTGCGAGCAGACCAACAGTACGATTTTCAGAAAGATCTAGGTATTTAAGGTTTGCACCTGCCAAGGCACGTAAAAACATTGTTGAAAATACTGACTGTTTGACTTTATTATGGTGGGCAGAATAATAATGAATGTATGAACACACATTAGTTGGTTTTCTATAAATACTGAACTTAAAAGTGTTACCTATTCTGTGTATGAGACAGTCTAGGAATGGCAATTTACAGTCTTGCTCTAATTCCACAGTGAATTTGATCGAGGGGGCTAAGTTGTTAAGTTGTGGTAGGAAAGCTTTAATGTCCTCATTACATGGCCAGAGACATAATACATCATCAACATATCTAAACCAGACTGCTGAGGGTGGTAAAATATTACTTAATAGTTTCTTTTCAAAGAATTCCATATATAGGTTGCTTAATACAGGTGAGAGTGGATTACCCATTGCCATACCAAATTTTTGAGCATAATATTCCCCATTGAATTCGAATTTGCAATCCTTAATACATAGTTTGATGAGTTCGATGAAGTCGTCGTTCGAGACGGGCAGTGAAATGTTATCCAGGGAATCTATGAGGAACTCTAGTAAATCATCAACTGGGACCTTTGTAAAGAGTGACGTTACATCAAAGCTGACCAGTTTAAAATCATGATTAATGTGTAAGTTATTGAGTTTATCAACCAGATCCATGTATCATAATAACATAATGTACTTGTTCACAGTTATATCAATTGTGGCTGTACTGACAGTACGCATTTCGGGATCACGTAAATAACAAGTATTATTCTTTAACATTTCTTAAATTAAGTGAAAGTCATCCAGATAAGATAAACTTTTACATATCTAATTCTCCTTTAAAATTCAATCAGCTATTTGCTGACGTCAGATACACAGGTGTGAAAATTAGCGAGTGGAATGATATGACGTCAGAGCCTCCACACCCAACCGGAAAATAACTGTGACGTCACGGCCACCTAAACCAGAGAGTAAGCATATGACGTACTAATACCATTAACCACCAGAGCTTTAGCATACGAATCAAGCCGGTTTGACGTCATGGAACAGGTGCAAGCGTGCATGTGTGTTTATCGTTACAGCTGCTCCATGACGTCATTGGTACAGTATCTCTCCTTCATATGATCCATCGCAAAATGTTAATTAAATTCCCATCGAGGTGACTGTGTGTGTGTGTGTATGTCCCACAAACAATAATAGCTTATCGTAAATTGGTATTTTGACTTTGACTTACGATAACGAGGAGGCAGTTTGCGTTCTTGGCGGCCATTAAGTCGTAAATCCACGCCACCAGATTTACAAACACTCACACCGTCAACATTCCTTTAAATAATGATGTCATTACTCGACTTTACCTATATCTCTTATTACAATTAACGAAGAAAACAATTATAAATCACTAAAAATCCGGATTTATTGAAGCTGTTCGTGAGCAAGTACCTCCTTCCCTCAGATTTTCACAGGATTAAAACAACTCAATAAATCTGTAAATATCTGATGAATGATGACGACATACGTAGATTTGGTCTATATATACAAGAACTTTTAAATTAATTCTGGAACTTCCTAAATAATTCTGGAACTTTCAAGAATAATCATGGAATATGTAAGATAATTCTAAAACATTTATGATAATCCTGAAACTTATAAAATAATCCTGCAACTTTTTAAATAATTATGGAATATTTACGATAATTCTGGAACTTTTAGAATAATCCTGGAACTTAAAAAGAAAGCACTTTTAAATTATCCTGAAATTACCAAAAGGGACCTGAAATTACCCCCAAATGACCTAAATTACCAAAAATTACCTGAAATTATAATACAGGGCATGAAATTACCAAAACGACCAAAAATTGACCCATAAAACCTAACGCTTTGAAATATGACCTGAAATCACCATAAAGACCTGATATTTACCAAGAAAAGACCATTGCTGGACCAGATATGAGTGTTGGGACCAGATTATTGATTCCAGGTACGGTACTGTCAGGTATTTCCAGGTACTCGTTAGCCAAGTGACCAGGTCGATGACTATAGCTGCGGAGGGTCTTCGGCTCTCATTAAATTAGTAGTTCTCGGTGCAACCACAGGTGAGTTAGGTGGTGGTGGTGGTGGTGTGTATATATGTGTGTGTGGGGGGTCGGGTGGTATAGTGTGGCCTGATGATGGTGATGGCATAGTTATGGTGTTGCTCTTTATGGTGTTGAGATTAATATGGAGCAGTAACAAGAATATGGTGATGTGATGACGATAATTACAGAGGTAACTTACAATGAGTAATAGTGATTAAGCTAGTAACGTCGTTGTTGTAATATAATGATGGTGATGGTAATAACGTCAGAGTATATAAGGTGATGGTTGTAGTTAAGAGGGAGAAGTGTGGGTTAAACCCACTCATAAATTGCCCGGTGTCCCCAACAAACTTATCTGAACCACCAAATTGTGGAGCCACCAAAGAAATGATCAGGTAGATGACTCGCATCATATATAACTACATTCTCGACACGTCCCTGACCTCACTTCTTCACCAAATACTGGCAATAATACCCCGTCTCTTCTGCCAGAGAACACACTCATTAAGTAAACACAAGGAGAATGTGGCAGCAATGGAGGAAAGACTAACACTGTGACAATAGGGGGACCTTGATGATCTCGTGAGTGACGCAAAAACACTGCAGGAGAGACTGAAATTTTCAGATGGCAAGGCTCCGGTGATGCGACCAGTGAGTTTGATAACAAGATGCGCGCTGGAAAAGTGACCTGGCAATTAGAATTCTCACAAAGGAGTGCTCAGGTGGAGTACTGACAATAAACAAAGAGACAATGAAGCTTCTGAAGGAGAAACACACAGGGTGATTATGCCCCGCTAAGCGCAGTAATGTTCGAGAGATAGTGTGGAAAAATGCACTGAATACCCAGGTAGGAGCCGAACCATCAAGCCTGGATGCTAGTGGATGGAGACTCATCCTCAGAAGTAGTAGTTCGACGATGCAGAGAACGACCTTCCCAACGCCTTTGCCGCCCTTGCAAGATAGCTGGCAACCTCTTGCTGTCATCACCTACAAGCTCTAAATGCCAGTCGCCTCATCCCACTGAACAAAAGTCCAGGATGTCGGCCTAAAGGGTAGGGTAAGGGCCGAGAAGAATTATTGGCAAATGTATAATGGAGGTGGACAATGATGATCTCAGGGCAGCAGCAGGGAACCTGCAAGTGTGTGCTGGCCACCAGGACTGCGGGGGGTGAA